GAGATTATTTGTTGTGGAGAGGTGATATGCAAAAATTCAGCAAAGAGACCGCATGGAACAATGCCATCCCTGGTTTTCCCCAGCATAACCTTGACATGCTTACTGGTAAAGGTCAGTATGCTGGCTTTACAGCACAGACTGCCTATGATCCTGCAGTTTCTGCTCAAATTGCAGCCGTGGCCACCAAGGCCTGAAAAATATTGCCTAACAAAGGAGCGAGTGAACAGCTTTCTAAAACCCTGCAGGGAGCTTCAGAGCCGTACTCTGAGTTTATCGACCATCTCTTGCAGGTGGGCAATCTTGTTCTTGGGGATGTGAGCTCAGCCATGGTGGTCATAAAACAATTAACATATGAAAATGCTAACAGGTTTTGCCAAAAAGTTTTGCACCCACATAGGAATAGGGACTTAGATGATTTTATCCTTCTATGCAGGGAAGTAGAAAGCCTCCCTGTGGTGGGTCAGGCAACTGCTTCTGCCCCTAAAAAGGTTCCAGACAAAGCTAGTACTAATCTTGGGGCAGGGGAGTTTTGTCTGTTTTTCTGCAGAATGCAGACCATCCCATTTGACTACTGGAGCACCTGGTCCATGCCATAGATTCTCCTGTCCAGAGGCCTAAAGACGAGACAAAACCAAGAGATCCAGACATAGTCGACCCGCCAGACTAAAGAGCTGCTGGATTCCTAAAGCTGACAGCGGTGGCCCATAGCCACGGGCCCTTTGCTGTTCCGACTCCCTCCCCATGATCTGTCAGTCATTGTTGCAGACGCCAGAAGTGGCTTGCTACCAGTGTTTCCTTTTTTTTTCCTTATCCTGTCAGCTGGGCACTGCTGGGCACTGTGGGTACCTTCTCAGGGCAGACTGTAAATGCCGTGGTCATTCAAGTTGAGCTAAATTTACAATTAAAAACTGCAGTTAATCTTTATGGATTGGTTGTGGTGTTTTTACCTCTGCTGGTCACAGAAAAGACTTTTTGCTGTTTTTCATGGACCCTGGAGTACAAAACTTACTAATTGGCTGTCACTTATTCTAGTTAGCTATTCCAGGGGCTCTTTTCGCTAATGCTAAAGTTCTTACTTAAAAGGCTCCTTTTTGAACAGACTTTTTAAGGACTTTGCAGGCACAGTCTCCTTTAGGAATGCTTGTGTGCGCTGGCGCGTCATCTTCATGATTTCATGATGCCAGAGCCAAAGGCAAACTCAGGTCAATGTTGCCACGTGGCAAGTCCTTTTAGCATTCACCTTGGAGTATCTTTCAGCGCAAATCTGGCTGAACTTGGTGATGAGTGACTTGTGAGTCAGAGATGGGTTAGGTTTTATGGGGGGCAGCCCCAACCTATGACAGGAAATGTGTTTTGACCTGGGCACTTTCCCATGACAGGTAAGAGGTCTTTGCTTGACGTCCATTACTACCTAAGACAGGCCTAGTCGCTTAAATTTATATAATAGGGGGGCCTGTTGGATCCCAGGCTTTACCCCTGCTCCCTCAGGTACAAAACGCAAGATGCAAGAACTGTTTTTGCCTACCAGCCAAGCTTCCTGCTAACTCCTGTGTCCATTCTACTAGCCCAGTTGATTTAGCCCTGAGCCTCTTTTTATCTTTGATATGGTAATTTCCCACCTGCAAAGAAGGGTTCCCACGTGGCCTAAACCTACCCTAACTGTCTCTCACCATCCTAACTGTCTCTCACCACGCTCTTGCTAGTACCCCCTGCCTGCGGAGGAATTCCTCTCGGGCACCAGGCTGGTCATGCTGTTTTCTCACACCTGGCTGGGAGGGAGTTTGCTCTTCTGGGGAGAAGAGTATTTAACCTGGTGGAAACTAAATAAATTTGGCATTTAACTTCTGGCAAATGACCCAGATCTCTGTGTATGTGTGTGTGTCCGTTTAACCCCTAGACCTTTGCCCCAAGCTCATGGCAAGGTATGGAAGGTGCACAATCCGTTCCAGGAGGAGGGAAGCACAGATTCGGGTGGAATCCACAACGGGTTCCTTGTTTGTTTCTACGACCTAATGAAAAACCCAAGACCTAGGTCTATAAAGACTGCAGCATCTGGTGTATGTGTTATTTGGTGAAGATCCATACCTTTTCCCTAACTGTTTATGTAAGGATGCTTAGTTACCTGATTCTATGCATGCTGGGAGAGGAAAAAAGTGGTGTACTGAATATAAACTTTTTAGCTCTTTTAATCCTTAAAAATATAGAATAGTAGACTAATTTTCCCCCTCTAAAATTTATTCCTTGATGCTTTCTTTATTTTCTTAACAAACTTTCTCTATTATGGGGTTCACCCTCTCTCTCTCTCTCTCTCTCTCTCTCTCTCTCTCTCTCTCTCTCTCTGTGTGTGTGTGTGTGTGTGTGTATGAAAACCGTTATCTGATTTATTGTAGGGCATTAGAATTCCAGCCCTGGAACCTACTAGGGCTTGAGAATTGCTGTTTTTAAGGATATATAAGACTGGGAACACTTGCAATGGGGAAAACTGATAGAAATAAGAATAAAAAGTAAGAACAATAATAAAGAAACATAGATAGATGAAACCTTTTCTGAATAGACTTCTTAATCCTGTGATTTTTTGATCCACCCCCTTTAGCTTATAGTAACATGTTTAATTGAACCCTGAGAGGAAGTATTAAAAGCTGGAACTTTAAGGCTCCCATTAAAATATCCTCAACACTTGTTCACAGAGGACTAGCATGCAAACTCACACTTTTATAGCATGGAACCAGTGATACACACTAGATACATGCACTGTCTTAAGAAGCAAAATCACATGGAACTCTATGAGTTAAATTCATCCCAATACTCTTTAAATTTCCTCCATACATAGACACACACACACACACACAGACACACACACACACACACACACATATCACACACCTCTCACTCTAAACTTAACAATTACATAAGTGCTGTGCAAATTCAATTATGAAAATCAATAGATCATGAATGAATAAGACATAGAAGTATGTTTGCGACTTGATGAATTTAAATTTTCCATGTCAGTAACCAAACAGGAAGAGCTGTGTAATATGGAAAAGCCAATCCTCAACTGCTTCAACCACTACAAGTTCTTATGAGCCTGTTGCATATTGTGTATTTCTTGGCCCACCTTACAAACTAATGACTGACAGTGTTCCTGCTCAGCTGCTCCACATATTGTTTGTATTATTTCTGCTGAGTTTTTAGGTGATATTTTTCTACCCTGAAACACTAATCCCTTTCACAAGTTGCTAACACTGAAAAAGGTCAAGAAAAGGTCTCAAGTTGTGTGGTATTTGACAAAATCAACTTTATTCCAGGACCCACCTAGAAAAGGACAATGCTGAGTTCTGCAAGAACAGCTAATGCCTCAGCTGCCCACACATGAACATGTATACCTAACTTTCTTCCCTCCTCCTCCTCTGACCAGAAAAAAGTTCACCAAGGGAAGCACTGGTTAAGAACCCTCATCTCCAAATCCTGCCCATCTTGTATCTGCAGACACTAGAAAACTATCCTGTCAATATACATTGGACCTTATTCACAACAGTCAACTGTTTCCTGTCTTTAACATTAAACTCCATGAGCTCTGTGAGAGTGTCTCAAGTTTTATGGAACCTGATAAATTTAGCAAATGCAAATAAACTACCTATTCAGAATACATCTATTATCACCTTACAGAGTAAAAAAACTGTAAACTGCTTTCATTACAGATTATTACATCATCTATAGCAATTATTTATTGACTTGATTTGTGAGATTATAACCATATTTTTCAAAATAGAGCATCAAGAAAATGGATATGCATATCACAGGAAAGTTTCATGTGAATGAAGTATCATCTAAATTAACATGCATGTGGCCCTTTGTGTTTTACATCATCCACATACTATTCAAATTTCTACCAAACCCATAAAAACTATCCAATTATGAAAGACTGATATTGTTTCAGACATGAATGACAGCTCATCATATTTGCACTTTTGTACCTCTCACAACAGATAAAAATAGGATCATAGAGTAAAACAAAATAGTATCCTTAGAAAACCCATTTAAATACAATATTTGTTAAGCATTTTGTTCTTTCTTTGGTTTTTTTAGATGAAGTTTTCTCGTGTACCAGGATTAAATATCCTAGAACTCATTCGAAAACACGGCTGCTCAAGAACTCACAGAGATTCAATTGCCTCAGAACAAAAGTGCTGTGATTAATATGTGTTACACCATAAATAAATAAATAAGGTGAAACTATGCTCATGAGGACTAGTGAAGCTATCTTTGTGATTGCCTGGTCCTACAGTTACTTGGAATCTCAACTGCTACTTTTCTTTCTATAACACAGAGGAACATGAAGAACAGCATGTGCAGTCTTCTAGGTCTACAATAACATAGCTTCTCTACTTTGAACCAGATCTGGGGAATTCTAAACAGCCTTTCTATGCCCAAACAGGCTGTCACTCTTGTTTGTCTCTTATTATACATCCCTGTTTGGTGTCCTAACTCTCTGTAGAACTGAAAAGAACCAGTCAGCTCTGTATTATATACATACTAACACATGGGTGTAATTCGATGAATGGAGGTTGAATTGAAAAGTAGACAATATCTATCTTTATCCTAAATTACAGGAAGAATTGGGACAAAAATATTATTGAGTGGATAGAAGCAAATTCCCTCTCAATTACAACTAACAATATCAGGGTCACGGTTATATCATCTGGAGCTTAAACAATCACAGAACTTTATTTCTAATATCTGGTTGTTGCCTGAGTTACATCAAAATTATTGTCCAACTTTCATATTTTATTATTAAGAACTGAAACATTGACAACCTACTCCGCATGCATCCTGTTATGCTTATGTCCCAAACAAAAGTCAGGGATGCAATGTATCCTGCTGTGTCAAGTCAGGTCAACAGTAAGGACCTGAAAAGTGCCTTTGTTCTACCTTCCTTATAAAGACTCTGGCCTTACTTCTCACACCACAGACTTTGAAGCAACTCCATAGTCTGCTCCAAGATGCTGGTGGTCCTGCTTACAGCAGCCTTGTTGGCCTTGAGCTCAGTTCAGAGAGTAAATGCAGGTATGAAGTAGGGTAGACATTGGTTCTGTGAAATGGGAGTTGGGCAACACACTGAAATACAGGACTGGGAGAAATATAAAAAGATAAATTAAAAAACTGAAGCAAAGGGTTAGCAAAACATATTGGAATCTTTATATTTTCATTTTGCACTGGATCTTAAACATTTCTTATAGTAAAATTTAAGAAACTATTTTATAACAAATAACATGAATGCATTTGTTAAAAGACCTTTTGGTGGGGCATGATGCATGGGATCATGATACAGTTTAAAGAAAGGAACTCAGTTCTCAAGGAGTTACGAGAAGCCAATACTAAATAATGGTAACCTTGCTGTACAGAGGAAAGTAAAAACTGGAAAACTGAAAGAAGTAAAGGTATGTCACAGATGCTTTTGAGACAATGAATAAAGTAATAAATTTGAAACTGTATACTATCAGGTAGAAATATTAGTAAATAATTTCTTAAATTAATTTTGAGCAATGTGTGCATGCAGAATTGTCTGTGTATATATGATTCCAGGAACTGAATACAAGTCGTCAGACAAGAACTTTTATCCACCGAGATATCTTTGTGAGACTCATTCCCTATATTAATGACCCACATGAAATATTCATTGTTCTTCACAAAGTATTTATAGCAATGTTTATTTTTACTTCAGTGTGAAATACCTGCAGATATGTATCATATAACAAAAGAAGGTCATGAAGAAAAACATAAATAATATAAACCCGTCAGAATGAAATTCTCATATTAAAATGAAGACTAACAGTAAGGGTTGTCAGAGGTACTAAGAAACAAAATAGTCGTTGTTTCTGATCAAAGAAACCATTTTGAAAGCAGTATCATCAGTATTGTCCAAGAATAAAATACTTCTTAGTGGATATGAAGATGTTATTGAAAGTCATTTGTATTTCAGCTAAAAAATTTTGTAAGTAACTTTTAACTTCTCTTGTGCTTATTTTCTAGCGATCATCAATGAAGACTCTTCTTCTCAACTCTTGGGTAGGGTCAGATTCATCCTATATTAACTAATTAAGCATGATTTATTTTCGTAATTATTCAGTTCTATAAAATCTCATAATGTTTTTATTTTGTGAAGTTAACATGTGACAGCTTACCCTGAGATATATAGGAAAGCTCCCCTGCATTGTCTCTAGGGCCTAGAAGAGGGCAATACACTGGAAGAGTAGAAAGGCAGGCTTTTATACCAAGAACATTTGGTTGATGAGCATATTGAGTGTCCTCATTTAAAATCTTACATGACTGTATGGGTTGATCAAAGAATCCTTTCCCCATTGATTCCTTTCAGAATTATAAGATTCCACACTAGATAGATATGTAATTTTACAGATCTCAGACTCTCTCATCTTTTTAAAATTTATTTTTCTCACTCAGCTCTGTATCCACAAAAGCATTGCAGGAAAACTGAATGGAACATGTTTTAGTCTCTTTTTTATTCTTATTTTTGCTCTCTACTTGGTTATAGAACCCAAAGCACCATGGTACATTTAAGAATAGAGCATTGCTGTCACATTAAGCAATGTTGCCTAATTCTAACTAATATCATCAAAAATAATCCTTTCAGTTTCGTCACTTCTGTCTGAGAATTGTAACAAAATAAAATCACCTCTAATGAACAAATTTAAGAAGAAATATTTGTCTGAATAGTTGAGCCATAAGAAAGTTCTTATGATAAATATTTAAAAATTACATTTCAAAAAGAATCAGGCTCATAAATTTAGGAAGGATATTCTGACAGAAAGTGAAAAGTAAGTTTCTTCAACATGGATCTATGTCCCTGCAGAGGAAGATCAAAAAAGCCAGGACAATGGTCAACAGCAACTGAGTGATGACGAAGGTGATGAAGAACCTGAAGAACCTGGAGATGATGGGGATGGCGATGAAGGAGAAAACCCACCAGAGAAACCACCACATCATCCTCGCCCTCCTAAACCTGGAAAGCCACATGGTCCTCCCCCACCTAAACCTGAAAAACCAGAAGGCCCACCTGAGGAGGGAGATGAGGAGAAACGTTCAGGTGAGGGTGCCGATGGAGAAGAAAATCCACCAGAGAAACCACCACATCATCCTCGTCCTCCTAAACCTGGAAAACCACATGGCCCTCCCCCCCCTAAACCTGAAAAACCAGAAGGTCCACCTGAGGAGGGCGATGGCGGTGATGATGATGGCGCCGGCAGTGATGTGGACGGTGATGAAGCGGCAAGTAATCTCTTAAAATTTTCTGCATAAATAAAAGGTTCATCAGCACGACAAAAGTAATCAGACACTTTTTCATTCTAACAATGATGTGGGATTCCCTCTGCTTGCTGTGAATACCATTTGTTAATAGGAATCTTCTTTGGGCCTATAGATAGGGCAGAATAGAGCTAGGCAGGAAAACTAAACTGAATGCTGGGAGAAAGAAGGCAGAGTCAGTGAGAAGCCATGGAGTTGCCAGGGAAGAAAGGCACGAGCCAGCAGCTGGAATCTTGCTGGTAGGTCACGGCCTTGTGGTGATGAACAATTTAATATAGATGGGTTAGTTTATGATTGGTCAAGCAGTGATTTAAATAATATGGTTTCTGTATGCTTATTTTTTGGCTGAACACTAGGGAACAAATGAATAGCCTCCTGGTAACAGTAGAGTCCCAAACCCTAGAGATCATCAACGTCTCCCAAACCCTAGAGATCATCAACGTCTTCCAAAAGGCGAAGATACTTTATACATCAAAAACATGAAAGTCCTCTATATCTTGATTTTTGTGACAAAAATCATTTAAAGTCAAATGCCCATCAAATGTCTGAATGCTAACAAAGTTAGATATCCAAAAAACTATCAGATATCTCAGAAAATGTTTGAATTGCAGGCTAGATCTTTCTTTTCCCTTACCTTACTTATCTGTTTATTTGTTGCAGGAGGAGTAGAAAACAGTTACCTTTAATGTCATTTCAAAGAAGCAATGATGTTTTAAGAGAACCTTCAACACTCCAATAAAATATTTAGCATGCAATTATTCTTTGTTGTTTTCTTAGTCTGAGCATGGATGAGTGAAAACTGGGGACTGTGGCCAAACCTAAGGCAATTATAGACCTCTTCAATCAGTTTCATTAGAAAAGGTCCTACTTTCTCCATTTACGAATAAGTCCACTATCATTTGAGGGACCTTTTTTTTTCTTCTTACCAGGATTTTGCTCACAACTTTGCTGTATTCCCCAGTTATTTCTGATTTTAGCGTGAGACTTAACATAGATATGTATTTTAATAGTAAAATATATAAAGAGATAAGACTACCTAAACATGCTCTTAATATATTGTGCAAGTTGTTTAACCAGAACCCTATAGAATAGTTGCCTAGGAGAACCTGCAAAAGGGATCTTTGTTACTTTTCTCACATGTAACACTCTCTGTTCACAATTTACCTGTTAGGAAGTTACTGTTTGTGTAGCTGGTGTTCTTTTGGACATTTAAATGTCAACCAGCTCACATTCCTCAACTTATACAGTCCTACATATGCAATGGTTTCTGGAGGCCAGATGTTCATTGTTTTCATCTCCCTTGAAATTTTATAAATATGTACCTGGTCCTAATCTGCATATGAAATTTTAAATTATTTTATGTATACCTTAGAGCAATCTTTCCATCTTAATATTTTATGATTTGTAAATGTTCATTCATTGATTTTTAAATTTTGTTGAATTAAAACTTGAAAGATAAATACAAAATGTTTAGATATTCAGCCAGTTGAGGAACTCTTAAACCAAGCAAATAGTTGAGCCTTAATTTCTAGATTCTTAATTGAGTGCTCTATTCATTTTTTTTGTATTTTACCTAGATTATATTCTTCTTTTCCTCCTTTCACACAATTCTTTATGAAAACTAGAGTGATGTTCATGAAAGTAGCACAGTGGGAGATTCATAGAAATGACAGTTTGGTGTCATTCTGAAGTTTTGACACTTAAACTTCTGTTGGCATAATTCTTTGGATGGCGGTGGATCCAATATGGCAATGAGCAGTATAGACGAAATGCCAAGATAGGGTAAGATTTATATGCATATTCATAGACACAGGCTAACCACATTCATCTACAATATAGACAAATCAGCATGTCATGATGAAACCGTGAATTTTCATGACTGTCAGTATTCTAAATCATTCATCAAACATCCTTCTGTTCCAGAGGAGTCATCTGGTTACTCATTAGCAGGCTTTTTATGTCTAAACCAACATTACCAGCAATCCTAATAGTTATAATGTCTCCTTTTGTAAGAAGAAAAGATAATCTATTTGCAGATATTCCAAGGAACTGTGGAATCTATGAAACGAAGCTGAAAGCCATAGTTTGGAGTTGGATGCATGAGAGAGTTAAAAAGAAGCCATAAAAACTCCAATAATATATAACAATTTGTGAATAAAAATATCATAATTTATTCAAGAGGCAAAATATTTTATTAGGCAAATAATTTTCAGGCAAATTCTTACAATTAAATGATTCTGAGAAAAGCTAAAAAGCCTCAATACATGGAAGAAAATACATTTCTTATATTCTTTGTCTTTAATATCTTATCATGTCTACCTTCATATCTATATCAATATGTTGATTTTTATCTGTCCTACTATGAAGCCAACTGGAATATTGCTTGAAGACAGTTGCTCCATAATTTAACAAATACCTCATCCTTGGCAAAATGTATCTTAAAAATATAACTTCAAAGGTGTTGAAGAGTACTTCAACTCTGTAGTAGAGTACTTATTGACATGATTGAGCCCTAGACACATACTTCAGCACATAAATAAATACTTAATTTAACCTGACATGTTACTTAAACGTCAATGAAACTATGTATGTTTTCAGATTATAGTCCAGCTCAAGTCAGCATCCACTGTTCTCCGAAGTCCATTTAAGAGTAAAAATCTGTCAGAATGTTCTTGTCAGTTTCTTGATATGTGATCAAGTTCATGCCAGAAAGCAATTTTAGGGGTGTATATTGTATCACGTGGCCCTTTCATAATGCACAGTATAATTCAATAAGGTCAGCATTCATTAGGTCTAACATTTAACAAGAATTATTTATTTCATTTTGTGTAAATGAGTTTCTCCTGCATGAATGACTGTACCACATGCATTTAGTGCCCATGGAGGAGAGGAGAATATCTGGAACTAGAAATATAAATAGTTGTTAGTTACTATATGGATGCTCAGACACAAACTCAGGTCCTCTAAAAGAGAAACAAGTAGTCTTAACTGCTGATCCATTTCTGCAGCCCCAATAAAATATTAACATATCAGCTCTGCTAAGTAGAAGATTTTATGCTCATACAAATACATATAGAAATTGTGTCATAATTAGGTCATCTTGCTCAGTTTCTAAGACCCCATGATGCATTGTTGTCTTCAAATAACTTCAAGGTGTTGATGAAAGACATGCTTATCCTATCTACCGATTAAACTATATTTTTTTAAAATTTTAGGAAAGTATATTATGCACCTAGGTTTTTAAGGCCATGTTCCTGAAGAGAATATCATCTGTCATCCCAAAACTTCATATAGAGAAACTGAAGTAGTCCCTGGCATGCAAGAATAGTAGCTGAATCTAGTAATGATATTCTAAAGCTGTGTTTGTATAATACACTTTGCATTTTCATAAACACACATTTGAATGCCAAAGCTGTCAAAAGAGTTATTAGGAAAATGTGTAGATCAACTTCTTAGACATGAAGCTCATTCAAAATAAACAATTATTGTATTCCTTTTTCTTAAAGGATTAGTTTCCATGAATACATAATTTCTCTTTGATTAAGAGAATGATAAGTGATTTGTTTACCATTTATTATAAAACAAAATCCATGAAGAAATGTTAAAGAACAAAGGAGGACCCTGAAATGAGACATTAAGTCTCCACTTATACCATCTATCATTAGTTCCTGACTTGGAAAGTTGCCTCTCCCTTGTTCATGTCCATTCTCAATGAAAACCCTGACTCTTGGACCAAAGCACTCCTCTCTATTGACTAATGGACCACTGACAGGCTTCCTGTAACACTGCCTTTCATTTTAATTAAGAAGAAAGGTTCTAACTGTAACACAACAAAATTATATACAATGGCAATTATTATCAATAACTGTCCTAAAAGAAAGCAAATTAATCAGCTTTAATAGAACTGAAACTACATACAACTAGAACAATTATCAAGTAAGAAATACATTCTCAATGTTCAGTTCCTAAGTAATTGGCAAATTTATAGAGATTACTCCATTAACTGTCCTCTCATGAAGACTCCAATGTTTAGTAACTACTATGCATTTGCAAAGATTCATGAGAATGCAATTGTCACCGTCTAGTTTTCATCACAATCAAAGACCCAAGAAGGAAATAATATTACTTGAGTAAGCAGAAAGAACAAGTCAATAACTTGTAAAAATATGTGAAAAGTGACAGAAAATGGTATATTTGTAGACAGTCATGCAAGTTTCCTCTGCAACAGTAGGGCATTGATCTTTGGCCTACAAGTCTAGAATATCTGACAGAATTTTCTTAGAAGCAGGAAATTTTGACAGACTGCCTAAACTGTCTTGGCAATTTCTGAAGTTGCATTTCTTTGGGTGTTGATTATCTAGTTGAGACAGTATACTGTCAGTATTTGAGGCAAGGGCAGGTGCTTGCACTAATGGCTACCATATACCACAAAGACATAACTACACATGGAGATTTTTTAATGCCTATCATCCTCTCACATTTAGATTGGTGCTGTTAGAGCAAATGATTCTCCTGACAACAAAAGTCTATGTTATTGAAACATTCCAAATGCCATGTTCTATATTTCTTTGAAGAATTTGAATTGCCTATCTTTCTGAAGTATACCTATGAATACCTGTAAACCTAACTAATATGATTTCTTTATTATCCTACATAACATTTAAGGAATGCAACTTCACATTGCATAAACGTACAAGCTGCACACGTATAAGCTGTATAGGTAATATAAAAAATAGAAACAGATGAACAGTATGAGGACAACAATTTCAAATTTGTAACAATATAGAAAAATATTAAAATGAAGTATAAACATATATAATGTATAATAAAAATAACTTTGAATTTGTATCAATATATAAAAATTCCTTAAACAGAAGTAGAAACATACAGTAACCTTAAATTTCTATCAATATACAAAATGTATACTAATGGTTTCACTCGATCATGCCCACTCCCCACAGTCGTCCTTTTGTCTGCTGGAGTTCTTATGAACA